AATTTAGGTGTATGAAAACTCAGGAAGAATATGTTTTCCATCTGCATGTTCCAGTATGCCTCACAATTTCTTCTAAGCCAAGCTCTTACTGACGCTGATAAAGGATTATGCCTTGGCACCTTCATGACTGCGGAAGTCAAACACAAGGAAAGACTAGTAAATGCAATGGTGGAACAGCACTGAAAAATTAGGGATTGCCTTCAGTGATTTCTCTTTAGCAGTTTTGTTTTGAATAAAAGATACGTCAGCTTTAAGGCTGTTTAATTACCGTGAAGAAATGTGACATCTATTTTCATACAAACATGTTTTTTATGCAAAATGAAAATCTTATCCTTGTTGAAAAAAACCCACAATTCATTACTTTATTTTGAGAGTTTGAGTTCACATTTTTCCTGAAGGAATACACACCTTTAGCAATGCAGGTTGCTATCTCTTAAATAGCTATATGTTTTATGAATGCTTTGAGAAACTATGAACTAGGCTCATTTCTGACATAACTAGGGACAGCTGCAGTCTGTATGTGAGATTTGCATATCAGGAGAGAAATACTGACTATACTTTCCTCCTATGGCAGCCTGGGGCACTGCAGAAATGAGTATTTTGCCACAGACTGTACCAGCAATACTGAATGAGTGAACACTGAAAATGAACTGAGTAATTAGTTATATTATTTCATAGAATCATAGAATCATAGAATAGTTTGGGTTGGGAGGGACCTTTAAAGGTCGTCTAGTCCAAGCCCTGTGCAATGAGCGAGTGCTTCAACTACCTCAGGTTGCTCGGAGCTCTGTCCATCCTGATCTTGAATGTTTTCAGGGATGGGGCTTCTACAACCTCTCTGGCAGCCTGTTCCAGAGTCTCACCACCCTTATTGTAGTATTTATTCCTTATATCTAGTATGAATCTACTATCTCTCAGTTTAAAGCCATTGTCCCATGTCCTGTCACAACAGGCCTTGCTAAAAAGATTGCTCCCATCTTCCTTATAGGCCTCCTTTAAGTAGTGGAAGGTCACTATAAGGTCTCCCCAGAGCTTTCTCTTCTCCAGGCTGAACAATCTCACCTCTCTCAGTCTTTCATCTAAGAGATGTGTTCCATCCCTCTGATCATTTTTGTGGCCCTCCTCTGGACATGCTCCAATGGTTTCATGTCATTCTTCCTCTGAGGACCCTAGAGCTGAACACAGTACCTTAAGTGGGTTCTTAGAAGAGCTGAGCAAAGAGGGAGAATCGACTCCTGGCCAAGCTGTTTTGATACAGCGCAGGATATGGTTGGCTTTCTGGGCTGCAAGCACACATTGCTGTCTCATGTCCAGCTTTTCATCTCCCAGCATCCCCAAGCCCTCCTCTGCAGGGCTGCTATCAATCCCTTCATTCCCCAGCCTGTACTGATAACAGGGCTTGCCCTGACCCAGATGCAGCACCTTGCACTTGGCCTTCTTGAACTGTATGAAGTTCACATGGGCCCACTTCTCTAGCTTGTCCAGGTCCCTCTGGATGGTATCCCATCCCTGAGGCATGTCGGCCTCACCACTTCACTTGGTGTCATCTGCAAAGTTGCTGAGGGTGCACTGTCTATGTCATTGATGAAGATACTAAACAGCACTGGTCCCGGTACGGACCCCTGAGGGACAACACTTGTGAGTGATCTCCATCTGGGCACTGAGCTGTTGACTACTACCCCCTCCTTACCCACCCATCAAAGCCCTATCTTTCCAATTTAGAGAGAAAGATGTTGTGGAGACCCATGTCAAAGGCCTTACAGAAGTCCAGACACAAGACATCCGTAGCTTTTCCTGTGCTACTGATGTAGTCATTCTATCATAGAAGGCCACTAGGTTGGTCAGGCAGGACTTACCCTTGGTGAAGCCATACTGGCTGTCTCAAGTGTATTTTGAAATTGAAAATAGTCTAGCACTGTTGACTAACAAAACTGTTCTTTCTGTTTACTTTGATACGGTGTGATATGTACATATGCAGTAGAGAACAATAGGTAATAAGGCAAATGTTGTAATCTTTCAGGAATGTCAGACAGGATTACCAGGAACCATCAGTTCTCTTCTTGTGTAAAAATATGCAGAAGGGAACAAATTAATTCAGTGACTCTGTCACTGTTGAGGATCAGCTGTTAAGCCACATCTCTGTGTCCTCTTTGTTCCATAAGACCAGCAGGGTTACAGGTATTGGCTGTCAGCCAGTCTGTCTAAGATGACCTCCCCGTTGGAACTGCATAGTGTGTTCATGAAACTGCAATTATCAAATTTTAATAGTGTTGGATATTGGCATATTTTTTTAAAGTACCCTTTGTCACAGCATTTCAGATTTCTAATTCTGTTTAAAATTGGTTTGTTATAAAAGCTAAGAACTTTCTCCAATACGCTGTTGTTTTCAAAAAGTACTTCCGTTTGTGTTTACTTTCAGTCATATTGAACAAAATCTTATTTTAACAGGAAAATTCAAAAATAAATATGAGTGGATTTACTTGAAATTTTACAGCAGAAGGCAGTGCAATATATTTGGCAGCAGACTGTACAGAGGTAGACTTTCGTGTTGTTGAGCAGCACTGACCCAAGTTATCTTGAAATCTACAAAATAATTCATGTGAATACTTGCATCTGGCATTTTCTAGCATTGTTGTTGTTCATTGCAGTCAGTGGGCTGGTCACTGCATAAAATGTTCCACCCTGAGTACAGGACTATAAAAGTTTTCAGGAACATAATCTCACCAGCAAGATTAGAGTTGTCCTGGAAATAATTGTGTTAACTGCAAGAATTAACCTAGATTAATCCTTCATGTGTTGAATTGCTGAAGTGCCCAGACATGATTATCATAAGCATCGTGCATTCTCATGCATGTCCTTGTTTCTTTTCTCTTCAGTCTCTATAAGGTCAGAGTCTCCTTTTCTCTTGCATCATCTCTCACTTCAGATGGGAATCAAATAAATCTGAACTGGATTGTCAGTATGTCAAGTGCCCTGCGTTTCTCCCACCATTTTAATTTCTTCTGGATATCTAGCATAATTCACCAGAGTTGTTAGCTTCCTCTGAAACCTCTGCTGCTTCATCCATGAAGTCAGAGACCTCATGCTCTCATTCTGTTAATTCTTAAGTTTGCTGCTATGGTACAACCTCCTTTTTCTCAAATTTGTCCTTCTGCACTCCCATCCTTTTTTTCTCCATGAGCTTATGCAGCCCCTCTCTAGCAGTGTTGTTTCCTGCACATACTTCCCACCTTAGGTTCTAGCAAAACAAACCGCAGAAACATGATGGCAAAGGTCAATGAAAATAAGTTTAAGCAAAGGCATTAGCTATAGAGTCAGCAGATAGAGCTCTAATTAAACAGCACGTGTGGTCCCAAATGCTGTGTGCAGGGAAGTTCATATCTTTAGAAATTCAAATCTTTAGGACCAAAATCAAGATGGTCGGACAGTAGCTTCTTCTATGTAAAAGAAGCTACAAAGATTATGTTGCAACACTAGAACACTTTTACAAAACATTATATGCATTGTATTTTGTAAAACAGTACTAAATTCTGTCTTTAAATGATGCCTTTCTTTGCTTTGAGAGAGACTTAGCATATGGGCATTACTTGTAAGACACTGCATTGTATGAGCAAGAGTATGTCAGAATTTGCAACTGCTTTTGATAAAGTATGTCTATGAAAAAATCATTACAATCCAATCATCATTATTTTTAAAATGTAACAGTGATAATCTCCTGTACTTTTTAGTTACATGGCATAAAGCTTTTTTCTATCTCTGGAAATGATGTAAGAAATGTTCATTTGGCAGGTTCAGGTATCTGCAGTAGGTTTAAAAACACCAATATTTCAAAGTATCAGATTTGCATATCACTACAGTATTTTGCAGTTAAAAACTAATAGCCGGACCTCTCTTCACCTACGTGGAAAAATATCGGAAGATTACAAGGTGTATCAACTGAAAACAAAATAATTGGACAGCAGTTTCACATTTAATTACTTAAGCTGTTTCACAAACATCAAGAATATTTCCAAAGAAAACAGCACTACCAAACTGTTAAGTATCCATTTTTTAATGATTACACTCTATGAAAGGTTAGATCTTCAGAAACCTGTTTTAAAACTTTACATTAAAATGATGAGTGAAGTCACCCACAAATTCCTCAAAGTCATTTACAAATTCCTCCTTGTGCTTAATTTTAATCTGTCTTGTTTCATAGACCTACCTTAATTATTGTATTTATATACATATTTATATACATATTTACATATATGCCAAACTTGAAGAAAAAAGCTTTTTAAGAGATAAAGTGTAAAGCAGCATCTGGAGAAAATAGGTGATTTCATCCAAGATTGTATCACCTGGAAAAATAATAGTAGCCCTAAAGATCTGGAGATCTCTGCCTTTTGTTCTTTTCTCTGCTCTGCTAGAAATGCAGTATGTTCACATCTATTTAATGATTTCATTAATTTAGTTCTCACACCACGTGATGAATTAAGACTTTTCTTCTGATGTCGTAAGTGACAAGAGAGTGCATAAATTAAGTAATCCCTCTAAAGCAAGTTAACATCAGCACTGCTGTCAATGTTTGTGGGACATTTCCTGAGATTATATGTTTTGAGATTTTTTTTGTTTAATTTGGATGTATATGTAGTTGAATATCTGACTGGGGAATGTTAAAAGACTGTAGTTTCCAAAGCTCCTGCTCATTAGGTCCTGTCAAGGTTTATTATGTTTTCCTGAATGTAGAGGCACCAAATTGGCAATCACCTTGAAAAGGCTGGATTTTAGATTTCAGTGCTTCTTCTGCATCTCACTTTGACAAGTTACTTGTCTGATGCAAGTGACTTGTGAATTTTCTGAGGGGGAAGCCACTGTCATTTCTGTAATCTGTGTTTCAGTGTCCTGCAGAATTTTTTGCATAATCACTGTTGGAGTTTATGAAGCTCATGCAAAAACATGTACATTTCTTGAATGTCTGCTGGTTCCTTATCTTTGTGTCTTTTACTGTGATGTTGTAGAGCTTGGATCATATGGAAACCTAAAATATTATGACACAATGACTGAAGAAGGTAAGAAATATTTTAGAATTGTTTGTATCAGCTTTTTTTGAAGCCCTTAAAGCGCCTTTTATGTGTTTACTTTTTTCCTTTATTTTTCTTAGTCCTATTTTCAGTTTATCCATTTTTTAATAAATCCTTTTTGCATGTCTTCATTGACGGTGCAATGAGTTTTGGCTCTTTTTTCAGGTTTTTGTTTTCAGCATTTCAGTTTTGCTCTTTCAGATAAAGAAATATAGTGGAATGCTTTTATTAAAGAACATACATGCAAAACCATACTCACAAATTATATGGCACAGTATAACATAGATTGTAGGTACTTACTTTATTCCATATTTTAAAGTGCAATCAAGAATTAATTTATGAATATTCAGATTACTTGGTTTGAGAAAAATTATTAAGTGACTTCAGTTTACTGTCTTACTCAAAAGTAATGAGTAAATTTTAAAAACTAGGCATGACTATTCCTGGAGTATTAATTGTATGCTTAATTGCAATGCAAAAATCATGCAATTTAAAATCCTGATTCTAGCAATACAAGAAGGAAGTAATTAGGGCCTGAATCAGGGCTCAGTGAAATCTTGTGAAATTTTTCTGCTGATTCAAAAGTGCTGCAGTTTATTATACTAATTCAGGAAAGCAGCTAACTCTGTACTAATTTTCCTGCACATGCTTTCATTCCCAATGCAGTCAGCATTTCTATAGTTTGGAAGTTTCCCTAAGCTGAGACCTGATGTCTGCAGGATTAAGGCCTGTTTTCCACCTCTCTCATTATAATGGCAGACAGATGATTTCATGAATGTTCAGTTTAGTAATTAGTAGCATGTTAGAGGATGGAGATAAGATTCAGGCCTGTAGGGAAGTTAGCCACCTATTCCTACATATTTTTAATGTTGGGAATATAAGGCAAATACCTCAATTCTCTGTTTTTAAAAGCATGGTTATTTTCTAGTTTAACTCAACCCTCAAGTTAAAAAGGTTTTAAGAAAACCTTCATTATGTGACTCACTCATGATCATTTCTCCAGGGTTTGGGAGGGGTGGGGCTGGAAAGTGACACCTTCTGACTGTTTCCAATTTTCTGCATCTGCTGTTGATACTCAAAATATAACCATACCATTCTGGCGCTGGCTGTAGGAGACAATTCCTTCCTACTTTGTACCTGATGTTGGAAAATGCTGTTTTGTTCTGTAGCAGGCGCGGTCTTATAGGTCAGTCTTGCCACACAGCTCTCCATTGCCCAGATTCACCACTGATTCACAGCATTGGCATTGATACAAGCAAAGATGTCTCAAAGGAGACTTTACCAGGCAGACAGTGGTGCCTATGTTGTTTACATACACCTCTCAATCACCTGAAATGAGTCGTTATCCCAGGCCATTCAGATATGGCTCCCAGAGCTAAAACTTTTGCAGTATGTCTCATCTCAGTCTTCATTACAATCAAGATATGAAGGTCATTTCTCATTGTATCCTCAGAACTGGGCATATTAAGGTTTTCACTTTTTGTGCTGAAGTACTAAATCTCCCATTTCAAAGATAGTCACTACATTAGTAGCCTTCTAATACACATAAAAACTCTATTGACAGTTAGATGTCAATGGGAAAATACGCATGCAAGTATGACACATACAATATACACATGAATTAGCACTATGCCTATGCTGAAGTAATGCTGTTAGTGTTAAATGTCATCTTAGAAGGCACTCCTCGTGAATAAGACCATGCTGTAGCAATAGCAAAACTACAGTAGCAAAAATCTTCCAGTAGCAAAAGAAAGGACCCTTTTTGTCTTTTAAGAGTATTAGCACTGACAAGTGTCTAGATACAGTTTACCTGTCATCATCATTTTCATATGTCTATCAGAAAGCAAGTAATGAATGCTGTATCGCAGAAGCAGTATTTAGATCAAAGTGTGCAAGATTTTGAATTTTCTATTTGGATTTTTAGAAGTATAATCATTATCACTCTTATCATAGTTACTTCCATTATCTGTTTTCCTCTCTCTTTTCCTTTTTTAACTGCGCTTTTTGTGCATTTTATACAGAAAGTTAGTCACAGGAACATGTAAACCCAGTTACAAATCCGTGGATTTTTTTCTGAAATAGTACATCCTTATTATCTCCAGGTCCTCAAACCCTGTGTCGAGGTAGGTAGCAAACTTTTAGTCCCCCAGTGAAGAAGAACAAGGAACGTATTTCTGCTGCTACATCAAAACGATCAGAGATTAAAAGTAATGGTTAAGCCATTACACAATCAGATATAGCCTTCTGGTCAGAGGGCCATTGGGCAGCAGGTTCTAGAAGCCGATCTCTATTGTTTTTTTACTCCTATTTTTTCTGAAAGTAATTTGAAATTAATTGCCAATTAGGCCCAACTGGGCCTAATCTTCCCCATATGGGAAGAGACCCTCACAGTAATCTTATGCTTCTGAGTAACCTTCAAAACCAGCTTACAACATGGCAAAGCTACATGTATTTTCATTTGATGCTTCTGCACGTTTTTGAAAGTAAAGAAAAAAGCACATGAGGTGAGTTTCTGGAATTGATCAGTTGAGACACCACCTCAGTACTGTGTTTAGCTCTGGGGCCCTCAGTGTAAGAAAGACATGGACCTGCTCAAGTGGGTCCAGAGGAGGGCAATGAAGATGATCAGGGACTGCAGTACCTCCCCTACAAGGACAGGCTGAGAGAGTTGGGCCTTTCAGCCTGGAGAAGAGAAGGCTCTGGGGAGACCTTATAATGGCCTCCTGGTACCTGACAGGGGCCTGCAGGAAAGAAGGGGAGGGACTCTTTATCAGGGAATGTAGTGTAAGAACAAAGGGTTACAGTTTTAAACTGAAAGAGGGCAGATTTAGATTAGATATTAAGAAGAAATTAATTTCTGTGAAGGTCGTGAGACCCTGGAACAAGTTGCCCAGAGAAGCTGTGAATGTCTCATCCCTGGAAGTGTTCAAGGCCAGGCTGGATGGGGCTTTGAGCAACCTGGTCTAGCAGGAGGTGTCCCTGCCCATGGCAGGGGGGTCGGAACAAGATGATCTCAAAAGCCCTTTCCAACCCAAACCATTCTATGATTCTATGACTCAGTAGTTGTGTTCCACAACTGGCCAGAAGCAGAACTGTTCGGTGTGGTTCAGACTGCTCAACAGCCACTAGTTTGACATCTTCAGACTCATGAAAGCTTGGCTATAGCTGTATGCATGTAGTCATTTGCACTTAATCAGAGATTGAAAACTAGACAAATGGTAGAGTCCTGAATTTTTTTAATGAGTGAATTTCCAAAGATATGCTCTTTTCCTATCAATAACAAGGCTTTTCTGACCCCAGGAATCTATAGTCTGCAATTTAGATTGTAGTCAAAGGACTGGCTTTTTAATATGTCCTTGATCAGCAGAACGTTCGCCAACTGGTGCCAGCTGGAATTACTCATGCAGATCATGACGTATCTATATTACACAATACTGATTTGTTTGCATATATTCAAATAAAAACAATTTAGTTTTAAGCTACCTTCTTTGCTAATCACCTGGACTTGATCTCCTGTTCCTTCTACCCCATCTTTGTAAACTCTAATTAGCTGCAAAATCTGAGTTCATTGAATCTAGAATTTTCTATAACAATCTATCCTGTTTTGTGTCCATGGAATCAAGCATTTTCATTCACCTAAATTCTCATGCTACCAGATGGTGTGAAAATGACTGTTAGGCAGTCAAACCTAGGACTGTTAAAGAGGGGACATACTACCTAGGAATGTTAAAGAGGGAATATAAGCTCCTACCTTCTCCTAGAAATCAGTAACATAAATTTCCTATGCATCATTTTAGTAACCTCATCTAAAGGTTAGAAAAAAGTCATGAGAGAAGACCTATGCTTAAGATGAAACCATTGGGGCTTTCTGTAAGTTTTAGTGGTTCTGAAATATCCTGTGCTGGTTCTTTTTCCTGGTGGCTTTGTGCTTCTCCTACACTGAAAAAGTTTATATTTGGTTTGAAGGAGGAAAATGGCTGAGAAAGGGAAGGAGGAGGAATACCTCTGCCAATCTTTTTATGTCTCACTGTCTTTATGCAGTCTAGTACTACTACTTTCCTCAGTTTCTTGGTCTTCATAGCCGATATTTTATATCTTCTATTTATTTGATCCCACTATCATCTACATGAAGTTAATCACATGGAAAGGAATGATCCAAAACAATGTAAGCTGAACCATGCATGTACTGAGAAATCAAAGTAAACCAAAGTACAGTTTCCATTAAAATGTCGAGGTTAATTTCCGTGGCATCAAGTTCTAACTGTGGAACCATTCCTGAAAGAACCTGTGTAACTTAAAATATTAAAAGCCAGTGTAATAAATTCTCCCTCAAGATGAGAGGAGGTGAAAATCTTGGAAATGTGAAAAAAGTTGAAGACAACTTCAATTAAGCTAATCTAAACTAGTCTGAATCTCTCTGGAGACTTTATTTTCAGTTCAGTAATGGCTCAAGTCTCTCTATTAAAAAAAACCTAAACAAAAGTTTAGAGTATCCTTATAGAAATCTGCATCATTTTAATTTCACTTTTTTAATTGAACTTTAAATTAAAAGGTCCTATACCATGCTGGAGTAGGTGGAGACATGGTTCCACAGATCATTCTTAGAAAATGTTTCAGATGCATCATTTGCATTGCTTGCAAAAAAATGCATTTATGTATTTGGGGCATCACAAACCAAATTCTCAAACATAGGAAGCTGAGTTGGAGTCTGAAACCTAAAGCAGTCTTTTAGCAAACTGACATACGTATTGTATGAAAATTATGCAGGCACCATTCAGTGTCTACACATTTCTGGATAAGCACTTCTGAAGTGACACTTGTGTTTCAAAAGAAGCTGGGAATAGACTTGCTTCTTTGCATTTGAGCTTAAAATATTTGGACGTATGAACTGCATTTTCTCATGTTTGTCTTTCTCTTATCTGATAACCCAAGTATTTCCCTTTCTTTCTCTCTTTTTCTTTCTTTAACTCTTTGTTTCTTCTTCATTT